ACACCTCTTCAGGCTGCTTCCAGCATCCTTCACAAAACCTCCATCACCTTTGTTCTATGCATCCCTAGCTTTATCCCCGGTGGGTTGGCACCTACAAGCTATTCCTAGTAAATGCACAATCAATCAGAGGGAGGCAGTGACCTTGCTTGTCACCTTGAATGACTATTCCCCTCCTCTAAAAAAAAATCCTTTCTATGTGCCCTATACACTCCAGCCAGAGTCATCTGTCTCCTGGCTGTGGAAAAGTGGCAAGCCCCAGGAAAATGGGATAGGTGTCCAGAAGAGGTCTAGGACCAAGGAGGGCGATTCAGGATCTGTTGGAACATGGCCTCTTTCTGGGGCTTCCTAAAATGCCACTGGTTGGGCCCCTTTAACAATAGAAACTTACTTTCCCACAGCTCTAGAGTCCAGAAATCCAGACCAAAGTGTCAGAGGGCCGAGTGTCTCTGAGGCCAGGGAGAAAACTCTGCTCTGTGGCGGCTGGCAGCTGACAGCTGGCATACTTCGCTTGGAAAAGCATCACATTGTCCCTGCTTCCGTCTACACACATTGTTCTCCTTGCTGTGCCCAAATCTGCTCCGTCCCCTTTCTGTAAGGACATCAGCTGTGTTGGATTAGGCTCCACTTCACTCCAACAAGACCTTACCCTGACCGATGACTGTAGTCCTGTTTCCAAATAAGGACCTACTCTAGGGTACCGGAAGCCAGGTCGCCAACATGTGCATCCAGGAGGGGACACAATCCAACTTAAAGCAACCATGCTTCTGGAGTTCCACAAATCAGGGGCCCTCCTACATTGACAGGCGACCTTCAGGCACTCACCAGGAAGACAGCAGGATTGATGCCCATTGACAATGCTAATTATGTTTCAGCTGGAGAACTCACTCTGGACTTGAAGTGCAAGTTTCCCCAAGCTGAATTTAGAGACCTGTGTGTAAGTTGCTGGACCTTCCCAGCATGAGCTGTTATGGCCCTGACTCCTGCTGTTGTCGATGCTTTTATATAAATGTGATTATGAGACTTTATTCTTTATTACTTGACATCTTCACCGTGTTTATTTGCTTTGCTGTGTAGTATTCAGATGCATGAATGTTTGAATTGTTGGACTTTGATAAACCTTAGGTTTTTCCAGACTTTGGACTTTTACAAGTAACACAATGAACATTTTTTTCATAGAGCTTGTGCTGGTCTTCTCAGCTTGCTTTTTCCCAAGGGTGGAAGTGTGGGGCATTGAGTTGTAGATGTTCCCCAGCCCCAAGACTCTTCCTTGGGTCGCATATGAACTCCTCTGGCTACACATCCACATCACAGCAAGATATTGCCCTCCCTTTCAGCCACTCTGGTGGGGCATGGCTCATGCTCTGTACCCTGTTGCAGATGAAATGACTGTAGATTAGCTTGTGGGAAAAGCTTGACCAACATATGGGCCCATTTCTCCATGGGCTTTGCTCTTCCATATTGGTTGTAATTCTTCATACATTCACATATGCAGCATTTGTTGCCTTGGACAGAATCGCTTTCTTCCCGTCTGTTTTTTACCCTTATTGTCTTAATAGTGCTTCCTGACATAGTATACTTGCTCATAATTTTAATGAAATATGCCATTATTTTTCTATTAGTGAATTTTGCATTATTTTGCATTTCTGTCAATGCTATTGTGTTATGAACTTGATTCTCCTTGCCCACCAAATGCTACATTGCTGCTTTCTGTCCTCATGCCAGGTGTGTATCTAGTCAATCACTTCTTGCCACTGTATCCTATGATGCACATGTCCCTGCTCCGTTCACACCAGACCTACGGTTTCCCTTGTGACCCAGCCTCCATAAACCAGTGTCTTTTTGTGAATCCACTGTACAGGTGGCAATAGGATGCTCAACCCAGCCATCCCACAAGCATTTGAAAACCTTCATCTCTATAATTGATGAAATCCTAATACGGAAGCCCAGGCTCCCACAATCCACCACCTACCTCACCCTTTTCAGCATTTCTCCTGAGTGTACCTGACTCTAGACAGAAGACTTTGAACCCATCTAAGAGCCAAGATACTGGTTTCCAGCTGTTAGCCAGCACCAAAGATACCTGTGAAGCCAAGATGCCCACACCTTGGAGGTTGCCCTTAGCAAGTCTAGGCTGCCCTGGAGCGCCACTGGCTCTATCCCTAAGGCCTATGAAAGGGGTGCTCACTAGCTAAAGAGGAGGTCTACTGTACACACTGTGGGCACCCTGACAGGGTGGGTGGCAGGCACCTGTCCTTCCCCACCCTGCTTCCATTCCAGCAGACCCTGGATTTTCTAGAATTGCCTGTGTGGCTACATCCAGGAGGCATCTGTGATGTCTCTCATCTAGACATGGTGTCCTATTTCATGGTACCTTTAGTCAGGAAGGAGTGGAGAATGCTGTCTGCCCAAAGACAGGTAGACAGAAGTCTGCTGAGCAGTTTGGGCAGTATTTTGTTTACCTGACACAGGAGAGCTACAGAAAAATTAGCCACTCGCCTCCATCAAGATGCTATCGTGTACAGCGCCTGAAACAATGACAAGCCAAACTTCAGAGAGTGGCAGATGGTGACAGTGCAAGGAATGTGGATCCTTGGTAACATCTTTGACCTGCTCTAGCCAATTTTGGGACCATCTGCCTTATAGAGAGATATTGGATTTTCATTATTTCAGTAACCTTGACCATGATGTTTTATGACAACAACAGAAAAGTAGCTAATACAGTGGCCATCCATATGTCCATGTGTATGAATATGTATATAAATGTTTGTGTATATTCACATGGTCTCAGGTATGTATATGCACATGCATATGTGATTGCGTGTAGATGTGTGAGAATGCATGTATCTTTGTGTTTACACACACATGTGTATGCTCCTTGCATTGTGTGCACGCACACTAGCGTGTGTGTGTGTCTGTGTGTGTGTGTGTGTGTGTGTTCATTTGTACTCAGGAGGTAGAATCAAGAAAATTGGGAGTTCTCGGTCACATTTGGCTACATAGTAACTTCAAAGTCATCCTGGGGTGCATGAGACCTTGTTTTAAAAATAATAAAACAGGATGATCTCACCTGTGAGATGGGACTTGGAAATGTTGGCTCTGATCAGATCATCTCAGATTTCCAATTTCAAATCCTGACTAGGGACATTCAACTAGTAAAACCACTGTAAATACACCCAAATAAAAATCTTCTAAATAGGAAGTGGACACAAAGTCCTAGCTCTAACCAAAAAGCTGTTTTCTATGGCTACCTGTGGAGATGGGGAAAGCTAATTTTCTCCAATGAAAGCCGCTGGACATATTGATGACACTCCAGGGCAGGCCCTGTGCCCAGGAGGATTTATCTAGCCAACACAAAATGGATTCCATTGTGTGTGTGTGTGTGTGCATGATTGCATGCGTGTGTTTTCCATTGTGTGTGCGTGCATGCATGTGTGTGTGTTTTCCATGGTGTGTACATGAGTATATGTGTGTGTTTTCATTGTGTGTGCGCGTGTGTGCATGTATGTGTGCGTGCATTGTGTGTGTGTGTGTGCGTGCGTGCGTGTGTGTGTGTGTGTGTGTGTAATTCTCGTGTTGTTTTGGTAACTTTTTGTCTGTGAGCCCCACCTCTCTTTGGCTTCCTGTGGTGAAAGAGGCAGCACAGGCCCTCACCAGACTCCAGCATCCTGCTTCTGGGAATTCTGACTCCAGGACCATGGACAGAAACCAAAGGCTCCATGTCACTTCTGCTGTCATAGGAACAGAGAGCAAATGACCAAGACCCAGCTCAATGACACTCATCCAAATGAGGGGGCCAGCTGTGGGAAGGGGAGGGCACCATTGCAGGTAGAGCCCCTGAGGGGACCACAGACTCCATAGTGTAGGCCCTGAAGCAGAGCACACAGGGAGTACAGGGACTTCATGAAACAACCCAAGCATGGCTGACTAACAGTAGTGCTTGGTGAGGCCAGATATAAGGAAAGCAGAAGAGGCACAGCAGGGACAAAAGGACACCTGCTGAAGATGGCAGGAAATAAAAGGAGGTGGCCTCCCAAGGGCTGAGGGACAGCTATACAGAAGGACAACTGTATGTCAGATTTCTGTCCAGGCTCCTACAGCGGATTCCTGCTGATGGGTTTATGAATAGAAAATAAAAGAACTAGACCCCAAAAGGTTCCCATGTCAATTCGCCTCCAGAGGTGCACATGAGGGGCAAGCAGAAGAACCTCAAGGTTAGGCCATAGAGAGTAACTAACTGTAATCTGGGGGTGAGTGGGGGACAGGATTTTGTACAATGTGGCGGTTGACCAGATGTCATTGAGTGTTGAATAGACAAGTAAAGCATATATAGTCATGATGGCATGATACAGTCTCGAGAAGAAAGTCTTCCGGCACATGTGACGTGTGTAAACTAAGGTCACTGTGCTGAGTAGGGGAAGACAGTGATGGAGGGATGAAAATGACATGACTTCACTCAAATGAGGCAGTCGAAATCCGAGACGGAAAGTGGAGAGATGACTTCCGGCTGGGTGGAGGGGATGGGGAATCTTTGTCTGATAGGTTTTCCTTGGAGCAGGTCAAAACTCAAGTGAGAAGCATCGTTTGCAGAGGGGTGAGTGTGCACAGCCTGTGAGGTCCGGGTCCCCTTCCCTCTGTCCTCAGTGCCCGCACAGCCTAGCTCCACAAAGTAGGTTGGTCATGCCCTCCTAGGGACACTCAGCGGGTTATGAGGGTCCTTCAGGGTCTGGGCCCAGTGCAGCTCTGAACAAGCTCAGCTACTGGAGCGGGAAATCCTCATTCCATCGAGCTCGGAAACTGTTCTGTGGACACGGGATGGCCTCTTGGGAGCAGAAGGGCGTGCTGGCCCAGCTGCTCAGAGCCGGAATCAGGGTAATCCTACTGAGGTCCCCCCACTCCTGCACTAACCCCTCTTCTGGCAACTAGAAGGGATTAGAGGAGAGGCCAAAGGATTAGAGGGGGGTGTTTGCTCACTGCCCCTCCCTCTGAACAGCAAAGCCTCCATCATTTGGGGCTGCCCCTCTGCTAGCTGCAGCTGGAGGCAGAGCCTTTAACTTGGGACCTGCCATCAGGGAGAACGCTTGGATGCCCAGGGATCCAGGTAGCAGCTAGCACACTTACAGCAGGGGCTTGGTCTTCCCCTTCGCCATTCCCAGTGGAAGCATCATGCCAAGATGTCCCACTCTGCCCTCCAACTACAACCAGGGCCACTGTGGACGGTGGTCAGCAGCCTGGACCTTCCTGAGGAAGATGCCGATCATCCTGTGGTTGCTGCTGTTGAACACCTCCCTGACTGCTGTGAGGGGCCAGACCAGAATTCCTCTGGAAACGTAAGCCTGAGTTCGATCCTACCCTGAAGACCCTTCTCATGGCCTTCTCCCCTCTGGTCAATTGTCCTGCCTCTGAGAGACCCTTTCCTTCCTGCCTCTATCCTCCTCAGATCCTTGCTGATTTTGGAGCCTACCTGCCCTTACCTCCTGGCTTTGTGTGGTTGATGTCAGGGCTAGATGAGGGTGTAGGTTTCCAGCTGGGGGGATAACTACAAGAGAGGGTGGGATTGGGCTACCATGGTTCTAGAAGTGGCTCCTGAGGGCTCATTGGATGATCTGTGCTTGCACACTGAGAAAGGGTAAAGCCACTGTCAATGGACAGCCAGGATGGTGCCTCCAAACAGCAGACCCTTGTCTAGGAACTCGGTTAGGATGGGTTCCAATGACCTCATTCTTTCTCTACCTCTCTGCCTCCTTCAAGGCTTTGATTCTACACCCCACCATGACATCCATCGTTTCCATCTGATACAATCTCTCTGGGTGTTTGTTCTTTAGTGTGGAACATTCCAGATTCTAAGGGGAGTCGAGCATCCTAGACTGACTCTTCACAGTTCACATCTGAGCATAACTGTGATAGAACCTTAGCTTCAGGACAGGGGCCCAGGCAGCAGTGTTTCTGCTTTGGGAAGAGTGGGCTTCCTTGACACAGTGACCCCTCCTTGCTCTGCTCAATGCTGCCTTCATCTCAGACAGTCCCTTGGTGATGGAGGTAATGCCATTCTCCAATCACACAGACCCAAAGATGAAAGTGCTGGAATCCATGCTGGTGAGCCAGCCTGGTGTTTGAGACATCCCCTGCAGCCTTGCATAAGCTGAGCAGTCTTTATCTCAGAAGGCAAGTTCCAGGATGGCAGGGGGCCAAGAAAAGACGTCTGGCATCCAGGCAGGCCGTACACAGAGAAACCTCGGGAGCAGCATGGGATAGCTGCCTCCACAAAACCCTGTTGCTGCTTGCCTGTCCCAGGAGGACAGAGATCTGCCACCCACTCTCCTCCCTCTCTCGCCAGGTCCCTTGCAGTCCTCGGCCTCTGTCCTGTTGACCTTGGCACTCAACCTCAGCCATGGCCACTTGCCCTCCGCATCTGTTCTACAAAAGGGTGCCAAAAGTCTCCTGCTGACTGATCCTGGAGACTGTGGCCCCCACCCACCTTGTCTCTTAGGGTGCTCCCCTTTTCTCTTGATACCCCACACCTCGATTCCTGGAGCACAATGACTGGCTTCCCGTGGGCGTCTGAGTGATTTTCCTGCCAACTTCAAGAGAATCTTGCCATCTTCATGCCCCTGAAACCATGGGTGCCCCACTGCCTGTCACCACAGATCAACCCATACTACACACTTTACTTGCCAAAGGTCCATTCGCCCTGTGTCTCAGTCCTTTTCTTGTCCTAATTAGCTCTACCCAGTCTCTTACCTACCAGACCCCACACTCAGTGCCTGTGCACGTTTCTTCCTGAGCATCATGGGAGCTCATCAAGCATGCTGTGTTTCTGTGACCCCTAAAGTTATGGGGTGTGCAACCGACCCAATGACACTTGCTGACCTTGTGTCAGTAGGTTGATGTTCAACAAAGCCCAAGCGACATTCATCACCTTCCTCTCTCCTTGATTCACTCAGGCCACCTTCCTTACAGCCCCAGCAATGGTCAACAAGTCAAGCTGGAGGGCTTGAAGTCATTTCCCACTGCTCCAAGCTCTCTACCTAAAATTCTTTTCCAGCTCTTACCACGCTAACCTCCATCCCACTATAGATGCCGAATTCAGATTCTGCCTCCTCGGCTTCTTCCCTCCCCACCATCGCCATCCTCCTCCAAAAGTGTGCGGCTGCTATGGAGATGGTGTGACATGCAGTCAGACCTCAGTCAGTGCCAGTGAGAGTGGATGCTGCTGACCTTAAAGGAGCCATACTTACTCTGGTTGCATGGCCCCAACAGGACCTGAAGTCTATTGTCTAGGGAGGAAGGGGGGGTCAGGGACCAGACCAGGTTGCCCTTCTAACCTGCCCTACTCCAGACAGGCACTTGGAGTCATTCTGTCCTGCCCCCACCATCTGAGGGTTCAACAAGTCAGTGTCCTATAGCTTTGAGGAGACATAGTAACGGACTGATCATTGAAATGTCCAAGTTGGCTCAGGAAGTACCACACTGGTTCGGGGTTTTTCCCCTCTAGACTGAACCTGCACAGACTCCCTCCTCCTTCCCTGCTCACTGGAAGGTCCTTGAGACCAGGGGGTTAGAATCCACTTTGAGCCCATCAGCTCTGGGGCCCACTGAAGCGAGGCAGAGTGTGTGTACCACAGCTAGAGTTTCCCACCCTGGCCAGGCTGCAGTTTGGCAGGGACGGATAGGAGCTGGCCTAGTTTACTTTCTGTCGCTGTGATAAACACTCGGACAAGAACAACTCAGAGTAGAAAGTTCACAATTCAAGTTCCCAATTCCAGGCTCCAGTCCACCATAGCAGGGAAGAAAGGTAGCAGAATCTGAAGGGTTAATAACATCACATTCATAGTTAAGAACAGAGAGAAGTGAGTGCACGCAGGTTTCCTTGTTGGTTCTTTTGTGCTTGGCTCAATTTCTCTGGTTCTATTCAGTTCAGGGCTGGTGCCAAGGAAATGATGCCATCCACAGTGGGCTGGATCTTCCCAGACCAATTAATTAAGACAGTCCCTCCACAGACACACCCACAGTCCAACCTAATATAGACAGTTGAGACTTTCTTCCTGGGTGACTCTAGGCTGGTGACAAAGTTGACAAAGCTAACCCATCACAGGAATGCTGGTATTGGTGTGTGTGTGTGTGTGTGTGTGTGTGTGTGTTCATGTGTGTGGATGTCGGTGGGTTATGAATGTGTCTGTGTATGAGATGCTTGCTTTGCATGTACATGATGCGACCATCCCCTTTGAGGATCTGACATCCGATCACGATGAGATCATGCACTTAGGATTTCCCGTCCTGCAGAGTGAAGTTCTGGGCCGACACCTTCGGCAGGAATCTGTACGACACGGTGACCAGATACTCAGGCTCGCTCTTGCTGCAGAAGGTCAGTGACCTCTCCCAGGGCGTTCCAGCAAGGTCACGGGGCCTCTTCCCACAGAGGGAGAGAATTCCCAACGTTCGAGCTGTAAGGGGCCTGAGAGATCATCTCTGTCAATCTTATCATATTCAGATGGGGCCCCGGGAGGCTCCATTCCTAAGGCAATCCAGTGTGGACAGTGAGCTCAAGAGCATTCTCTCAGTTCGCGTCTTGGGAAGCCAAGGACAAGATTAGACCTGCACGGGGGTTTATTGGGTGGGTAGTGGAGGCTTGGTGTCGCTGCCTGGGGAGGAGCCAGAGAGCAGATCAGAGTGTGGGGGCTGGGAGCAGAAGGAACAGCAGACAGCCCAGTCAGTTTCCTCTCTGCAGGCAGAGCAGCTCCAGTGGACCCCAGCAGCTCGGCTGTGCCTGGGTATCCGGCATCCCATGCACCCTGACAGTATGAGCCCATGACCAGTTCCCAGCAGAAGTGGGTCTGACAGAAGGGCAACCCTGGCATCTTTTTTCTGGGACCTGACTCCCTGGACATGTTTTCGGGGTCTTGCCTTCTCTCAGCACCATAACCTAAGAGTGATGAAAGTCTTTAATTCAAATTACGGCAGTCCAAGAGGCAGCCTCTCCATCTTACAAATGATGGATTCCTCAGCTTCTATGCCAGCCCAGAGCACACTGCCACCCTCCCTCATTCCCTTTGTGCTGCAGAAGGTGGGAGGGGGCAGGGTAGACCCTGGGGCTCTGCTAGGCTTAAGTCTACAGGAGCCCTCTCAACACCCCATTCTGTTGTGAACAACAACTTGTTTGATTTTTCTGTTTGAACCCTGCATCCCCAGGTGAGGGAGACAATGAGGGATTGTGCAGTCCTCGGGGTTGAAAGTGTTCTCTAGAGTCTACAGCACTGTCGAAAGCTCTAGATGCATCACATCTTACAGAAGATGACACTGGGTTCCTTGACAGCAGGTTACAGGGGCCGGCCAAGAGTCTTTGGTGACTCACTGAGGATTGTCCCAGGGCAGACAGAAATTTGAAACCAGTTCTTAGGCTTCCCTAGGCTCACCAACATCACTCTTGGAACTGCTGTGCTGGGTCCTCTGTAGGATGCAGGTCCGACACAGGAGATGATGCTCTTGGGAGCTGGGCAAAGGTGAATGGACACCGAGCCTGCTTCTCGGCCTCACAGCAGGTGTCAGGGAAGCTGTGGGTGACAAAGAGCAAGGACAGGGACTCTGGTATTCTGTCTCCCCCAGGGGCCCATCTGTTCAGGTCACTGGCTCTGGCTGGTGTCAAGTTTAATTCCTACCCAAGTGTCAGTCAACTCCCATTGGGGATAATAACTTCTTATGTCTGGAGTCCTGAACAGAGGACATCTGAGGACAGGCAGTTTGAGACTGTAATTAGGAGGTCATGGGGTGGGTACTGTGGAGAGCTGGTAAGGTCTTAGAGCCAGAATGGCCCTGGTGCACTCAGGCCCACGTCTTTCTCCTTTTGCCCTGCCCAGAAGTACAAGGACGCAGAATCCAGTCTGAAGATCAAAGAGGTGGATGGCTTAGAGCTGGTGAAGAAGTTCTCAGAGGACATGGAGACTATGCTCAGGAGGAAAGTCGAGGCCGTTAAGGTACCATTGCCCATCTCCAGCACTGGCCTTTTGGGCCCTCCCAGTGACCCCACTGACTGTAGATGGACCTCTCCTGGCTGGGTGGAGTGCAGACTGTGTTATACTAACCAGGTCACCACAGGTGTCAGGGTAGGCATATCCCAGCCAGGCTTTGTAGACATTCAGGAATGAGATCCCCTGAGCTCCTCAGAGCACGCAGGAACCACAGAGGGTGGGTCCTCGTGGCTGAAAGGGCAAAAGAAGAAAGCAGAGGGTTGGAGAGGGAAGAGAAGAGCGGAGAGCTTGTGGTGGGTGGCAGAGGAGAACAGCTAATGGTGACGGCCATGCTCCCTCCCTCAGAGCCTGGTGGAGGCCGCTGAGGAGGCCGACCTGAATCATGAGTACAATGCTTCTCTGGTGGTAAGTCCTCTTGGGAGTGGATGCCAGGCTGGCTGGCTCTGCCCCACCCCCATGGCAGCCGGAGCAGCTGCTGTTCAGGGAGCTGAGCAACAGCTACTCCATCTATGTCCCTGCACCATGCTGTCCCCTGGCTTTGTCAGTGAGGTCTTTGCCCCAGCTCCTGAGGCTCACAGAGACGGTATAGGCACGGGAAGAAGGAAGCTTAGGGCAGATGAGGACGCAATGGACACAAGCCCTCTGTGTCCAGGGGACAGCAAAATGGGGCGTCCACTGAGGGAGGCCAGGGCCAATATCCTGGATGCTGGGTGTCATGGCTGCTTTCCGTTACTGTGGTAAACACCACGGCCAAAAGCAACTCGTGGAGGAAAGGGTTTATTACGCTTACACATCACAACCATAGTCCATCACTGTGTGAGGCCAAGATAGGAAATGGCGGCAGGAATCTGGAGGCAGAAACTGAAGCAGACCTGGGGAGGAAAAGTACTTATTTTGGTTTTCCCTCGTTTCACTCAATGTGCTTTCTTATGCAGCCATTCGCCCTCTTCCCAGGGGTGGCACTGCCCACAGTGGACTTGGCCTGCTTTCCAGGGGTGGCAACTGCCCACAGTGGGCTTGGCCCTCCCAGGAGTGGCACTGCCCGCAAGGGACTCGCCCTCTTCCCAGGGGTGGCACTGCCCACAGTGGACTTGGCCTGCTTTCCAGGGGTTGCACTGCCCACAGTGGACTCAGTCTTCCCAAAGGTGGCACTGCCCACAGGAGTCTTGCCCTCTTCCCAGGGGTGGCACTGCCCATAGTGGACTTGACCTTTTTCTTAGAGGCAGCACTGCCCACAAAGGGCTTGGCCCTCTTCCCAGGGGTGGCACTGCCCACAGTGGACTCGGCCCTCCATAGTGATCATCAATCTGGGGATGCCTGCACAGACTTGCCCTCAGGCCAATCTGACGGAGGCATATTCTCAGTTTAGGATCCCTCTTCCAAAATGGTCCGAGCTTGTATGTGTGGGTTGGAGTCAGGGAGGGACATAGCTGAAACTGAGCTCACAAAGCCAATAGTGACCAGAGGGCAGCAAGATGAAGCTGGGAGGGGTCTGTGGCCACGGTTCTAGAGGGAGCCAAAGTGTAGGGCTTGTGGTATGGGGGGAGCAGGGAAGAAAGTGGGTCTGATTATGGTCTCTTGGGTCACAGCCTTCGTGCCCTGTGGGGAGGAGACAGCAGGACATAGGCCCACTGGCAGGGCAGGGTCTCAGATGCTCCTCCTTGAATTAACTGGGTCTCCAGGCCCCGCCTCTCCTGGAAGAAACCAATGGTGCTGACTTGGTCTTTTGCCTCTGTCTGGCTCTTGAGTCTCGGTTTGTCTGTCAGTCTGTTTGTCTCTGACTTGTGACTTTCCCATGCATAGTAAGCCAAGTGGAGAATTAAAACAACGTTTGGGCCGATTTGACCTCACCCAGCCAGTGAACCCCAAGATCCAACTATCTTGATGTGTGCTGTGACCACACTGTCCCATCTTTGCCTGAATTTTCCACCAAGTGCAGCATAGCCAGCACCACCAGTCCTTCCTGCCTAGCCTGGTCTTATGCTCGGTTCCTCTGGCCCTTGAAGCTCCCCTCCCTCCCTTGCTCTTTCCTTCTCTCTCTTTGTGCCTCTTGTGGACCTGTCCCCTCTCTCCCCAGTTTAACTACTACAACTCGGTGCTAATCAATGAGAAGGACGAGAAGGGCAACTACGTGGAGCTGGGAGACGAGTTTCTTCTTGAACCCGACGCACACTTCAGCAACCAGAGGGTGAACATCTCCCTGAGCAGTGTGCAGCTACCTACCAACGTGTACAACAAAGGTGGCCATATCCTCACCATCGGGTAGTCTAGGAGACAGGACGGGGGTCCTGGAGGGCTTAAATATTTTGTGTCAATTTTCCCAAGAAGTCCTATAGGGCGTTAGCTGTCTCTCCAATCTTCTTGATAGGGTGAGAAAAGAGATTACTCTACACACGCATGGAGTTTTCTGTTTTCTGTTGCTTTGACAAAATACCTGAAGCTGAATAACTTAGGCAAGGTTTCCCTAGCTCAAGGTCTGGGAAGCTGAGTCCGACCAGCACCACACTGCCTTGGTGAGGTCCCCAGCTGCATCCTACTGTGGTAGAGGGTGTCACGATGGGCATCTGTGTAAAGGGGTGCAACCACACAAAATGCTAGCGAGTGGGAATGCTGGTCTCTTCCACAGAAGCTCTTTCAAGGGAACTCACCAGAATCCATAGAACTGTAAAAACTCTGCCCTGGAGTGATGATTCAATCACACCCCCCCCATACTCCATCCTTTCTCATATGTCAGTACTGAGCACTGCACATTCAAACACAAACCCTGGGAACACACACACACACACACACACACACTCACACAGAGGCTACATCCAAACCTCAGCATGTGGGCAGGGAGAGAGGTGATGCTTTGGGGTTAGGGAGCATGGGCTACATGTGAGCCTGATGCAGGCCTAAGGGAATCAGGGGAAGCTTGCCCCTGTTTATGTGTGTAGCATGAGACACATGCATCTAATGTCTAATGTCACGGCCTCTGAAGTTCCCTCCATGATCTCACTCTCAGATCCAGACATCTTAAATGGAGTCTACATGTCCGAGGCCCTGAACCCTGTGTTTGTGGAGAACTTCCAGAGAGACCCTACACTGACCTGGCAGTATTTTGGCAGTTCAACTGGGTTCTTCAGGATCTACCCAGGTGAGGACACTGGGCAGCACCTCTGCCACCTCTGTCCTTGTTCTCTGAGAACAAAGTATGAAGATTCAAGGGCCCTCATAGCCAAGGCATTTTCAACCCACGCTTGGCCTTCTTACAACCTACTATGACATAGTCAGTGGGAACTGCTGGGGGAATGCCTGAGGAATGTCACTAAGCGATCACGGTAGTCACCAACGCTGTCCTGGGAAAGCCACGGACAATCTCATGGAGGACCCTGCAATCCCTCACCTTAAGGGATCTTCCAAGTTGGAGAGCAGAGAACACTGCCCTCAAACAAAATGGGGAAGGTTCTCTTAATCACACAGAAACAGGAAAGGGGTGGGGAGTGACTCCCTGGAAAGGCGTTTGCCACACAATCGTAAGGACTTGGGTTTGGATCCTTAGAACCTATGTGCATGGTACACACCTGTAATCCCAGCACTGCAGGGCTAGAGACAAGGGAATCCTAGGAAATCACTCTGGTGGAATTGGTAAGCTCCATGGATTCAATGAAGACTGTGTCTCAAATAATAAGGTGGAGGGAAACAGGAAGACACACACTGTTGATCTTTTGCCTCTGCAAGTGCACGTACTGACGTACTGGTGCTAGCCCCCATACACATATGTCCACAAATATCACACACACACACACACACACACACACACACACACACACACACACATACACACACCCCATATACCAAAAAAATGGGAATAGAAAACCCCCCCCACCAACAACAGTGTTTGTGGGTCTTTTCTGGTTTCTTGCCACTTAGAAAAATTCACCTCCACATCTCATGTTTCTATGTCCAGAAAGACGTTCAGTGTTCCCTTGTCTGGCCAGACCCTGGAATGATAAAAATGGACCTCTTTTTGTCTCCAGGATGGGAAGTCAAGCCCTCTCACAGGGTACAAAGAGCAAGTGTGTCTTCAGTCACTCTCAAAGTCCCCGATGTCTTTGCCAGACATTCCCAGATAGCTGCGGGTTTCCACTTCAATGTCTAGGTTCATTTAACCCTCTCTGATACAGAGACCCTGATGCTTCAGGAACTCGTACTGTCCCCAGAGTAGAAATCCTGTGAAGAGCCCTCTGGGTCCATTTCTAATAGATTTTTTTTTTCTTGTTGAGCCTCAGGAGTTCTCTGTATATTCTGAGTATTATTTCATATTGGCTTAATGATTTACAAATATTTCCTCCCATTTTGTGGGTTGCTCTTTTAATTTGTTGATATTGTCTTATAGTTTTTAATAGATAGTGTTTAAATTATCCCACCTTTCTTTTATTGTCTATGCCTTTGGCACTGTGGCCAAGAAATCATTGCCAACTCTGATGTCTTGGGGATTTTCCACTGTGTGTTCTAGTAAGAATTTTGCAGCTGTGAGTCTTACACTTAGGCTTTTGCTCACTTTGAGTTACTTTTGTATATTGTGCTAGTAAGGGCTCAGCTTCTGTCTCTCACATGTGGCTGCCCAGTTTTCTATTTGTTCAAAGACTGTTTCTCGCACTCCGCCAGCCAACGATTTGATCATGACGTGAGGGTTTCTTTCCCGTGTCTCTCATCTATTTCACGGGTCCCTGTGTTCATGTGTGTGTGAACAGCACACCACCATTTTGATTGCCGTAACCTTGCAATAAGTGTTAGAATCAGAAGATGTAACTCGTCAGAGTGTCACTCACTCGTGCATCGCTGTGGCAGAATGCCCGTCCACTCAGTACGTGGAAGGAAAGATGTGTTTCGATCCTTGACTTCAGAGGCTCTCAGTCCACTGCGGAAGGAAAGTATAACAGTGGCCAGGGCCTTACAGCAGACCTGTGGCAGAAAAAGTGTCAGAACTGGGACCAGACTATATGATTTTACGACTGTGTCCCCACACATGTATTGCCTGTGCACCACATGGGCACAGCGCCCATGGAGGCAAGGGGGCGTTGGAATTCTTGGAACTAGAGTTACAGATGACTGCGGGTGCTGGGAACTGAACTTGGTCCTTTGTAAGAGCAGTAAAGCTCCAGGCCCCCAATAATTTGTAGTTTTTATTATACGAAGTTGTGGTGGGATATTTAACTGTGTAAAGGTGTGTTACGTTTGTTTGTGCTGCATTTGTTCAACAATGTAAGGATGTGTGCTTAATTATAAAAAGATGTGTTGCTGTTTCACCTAGCCTGCCTAAAGCACCTGATGTCTAATAAAAAGCTGAATGGCCAATAGCTAGGCAGGAGAGGGATAGGTGAGTCTGGCAGACAGAAAGAATAAATAGGAGGAGAAATCAAGGTGCATAAAAGAACAATAGGAAGAAGAACGAGAGAAGAGAATGAGGGAGATCACACCCAGAGTAAGAAACCAGGCCGATGCCAGCCAGCCAGACATCAGTAGCAGTAAAAGTAAGATATACAGAAGGAAAGAAAAGCCCCAAGACAAAGGGTAGATAAAGAGAAACAGGTTAATTTATGTTTTTAAAAAAGCTAGCCTGAAATGAACCTAAGTAGGGCCAAACATTCAAAACTAATAAGAAATCTCAGTGTCATGATTTAGGAGCTGGTTGGTGGCACAAAAGAAGAAGCCTGGTACACAAAGTCTTTTGCTTCTTTTGTGATGATCCTGAAAACTGAACCATTTTGGTAACTTCCTCTTCAGGTTGTTCATGGCAACTGCTCTTGCTTGCTGTGTTGCTGAATTTGTTTATGAGGCCTAACGCCTGTCATTTGGGGCTTCCCACGAATCAAGCCTACAGTGTGCGAGCACAGTCTTTTCCCTTCCTCCCTTCACCTTTGCATTTTTCTTTTTTAGCCTAATTGCTCTGACTAGAACTTTCAGTACTGGTTTAAACACAACTATTTTGAAACAACTCTGTTTTATGACAACTAAGAGCGAGCGCTTTCAACCTTATGCTGTGGATTTTTCCATTTGTGGCTTTTGCTATGTTGAAGTGATTTTCATCTGTTGCTAGCTTGTAGAATCTTTTTGTCATAAAAGTGAGTTGGATTTTGCCAAATCTGTTTTCTGCTTCATTTGGGACAAGCATGTTGTTTTTCTCCTCGTTCTGTTAAGGTGATATCAGTTTTCATGGGTTAGGAAATCCTTACATTCTAGGAATAATGTATCACCCTTTTCATTTGCTGCTGGGTTTACGTTGCTGGGCTTTGTTGAGGAACTGTGCATTAGTGTTCTTTGGGGTATATTGTGCCTCATGGACTAAGTTAAGAAGTAGTGTCTCCTCTTCAGTTTTGTGGAAGATTTTGAGGATCTGTATGGAGTTTTTAAGGATTTGGTACTGCTCATGAGAGGCCATTAGCATCTGGACTTCACTTTGCTGGGAGAATTTTACTTTTTGTTTCCATCTCCTTATTTTTATTTCTTTGATTGTTATTTTCTGTGGTTTTTTAAAATATTTTTTGTAGTTTTTACTGAGCTATACATTTTTCTCCACTCCCCTCTCTTCCTCCCCTCTCCCCTTTTACCCTCTCCCGTGACCCCCACACTCCCAGTTTACTTAGGAGATCACTTTCCTATGTAGATTCATGCATGTCTCTCTTTGTTGTCTAGTTTCTCTGGGGTTGTGGCCTATAGGCTGATTTTTCTTTCCTTTATGTCTAAAAGAAATGACATGAATGAATGAATGAATGAATGAATAGTATATTTGTCTTTCTGGGTATGGGTTACCTCACGCAATGTGATGTTTTCTAGATCCATCTATTTGACTGCAAATTTCAAGATGTCATCATTTTTTACCACCATGTAGTACTTCTCTGTGTAAATGTACCACATTTTCTTCATCCATTCTTTGGTTGAGGAACATCTAGGTTGTTTCCAGGTTCTGGCTATAACAAACAATGCTGCAATGAACATAGTTGAGCACATGTCCTTGTGGTAAGATTGAGCATCTTTTGGGTATACGTCCAACAGTAGTATTGTTGGGTCTTGAGGTAGATTGTTTCCTAATCTTCTGAGAAATCACCATACTGATTTCCAAAGCAGCTGGACAAGTTTGCACTCCCACCAGCAATGCAGGAGTGTTCCCTTTACCCCACATCCTCTCCAGCATAAGTTGTCATCAGTGTTTAGATCTTGGCCATTCTTACAGGTGTAAGATGGAATCTCAGAGGTGTTTTGATTTGCACATCTCTGATGGCTAAGGATGTTGAGTTTTGCTTGCTTTGAGAAAGTTCATGCCTAACTTTGAAGAATATTCTGTTTCCCTTTGGCAGTTTCAGTGTTTTCGATTTTAAATTAAGACTTTTGATCTGTTTTCAACTGACTTTTGTACAAAATGAAAGATATGGATTTGCTTTCATTGTTCTGTTGATAGATGTGCAGTTTTGCTGGCACCATTTGTTGAACAGGATCTTTTTTTCTATTGCAGACTTTTGCCCCCTTTGAGAAAGATTAGGTGGCTATAGCTTTGTTCCCAAGTCTTCTGCTTTGACTCATGGGTCTGCCTTCCTATTTTTGTCCAGTACCAAGCTGTCTTCATCACTGTAGCTCATATATTTGCATCTGCCCTGGAGGGCAAGTTGAGGTCAGGCATTGTGATGCCTCCAGCTGTGTTCTTCCTCAGGCTGGCTTCGGGTGTGTGCAGACTTTCATGATTCCATGTGAATTTTTGGATTGCTTTTTCTGAATCTGTAAGATATAACATCAGAATTTCGATGTATCTTGCATTAAATATTTGGATTAATTTTGGTTGAATAGCCATTTTCACAATATTAATCCTGCCAATCCAGGAGCATGGACGACCTTTCTATCATTTGCATCTTTTTTTTTCTATTTCTTTTTCAATGCATTCGTGTTTTTATAGTAGAGGTCTTTCACTTATTTTTGTAAGGTTTATTTTTAGATACTTAATTTTGGAGCTGTTAATGAATGAAATATTCTTTCTAATTTTTTTCTGAGATTTCGTTGTTCATATATATAAAGGCTACTGGGTTTGTGTGTATGTGTGTGTGTGTGTACGTATGCATATATATATATATTGATTTATATCCTGCAACTTTGATATAAATG